CTTTGCTTCAGTATTCACTTGCTGTGATTACATTTATGGAACCAACAAGGTCTGTGCGCATTTCGAACACAGTTTTTTTCTTTCTGGCGTGTTTATTTAGAACAAATAACGTTTAATTGTTATTTTTCATCGATTTTGTGCCCTTTACTGTGATTTCTCTTGACTGTGTTGGATTCATCGGGCCCGGGGGTGAAGAAGAAAATGTGAGCAAAACATGGAGATAGAACACAAATCTTGAAACTTACTGCATGTGCAAGTTTTTTGTGATTCTCGTTTAAGAGAATGCTATTATTAAGTAAAATCTTGATTTTTGGTTAGTGAATGAAATATATAAAAAGCTTATTAGTGTTTATGATGTTCTGTTTGTGGAATGGACTCTAAAATAGTATGCAATAAATTTGTTATGAATGATGTTTTATGCCCATACATGCCATTTCCCTTTCTTTTTTTTTTTTCCCATCGGATTATGCAATGTTTGCACGGTTGGCAGTTGATCTTTTCTTTCTTTGAGAAAAGAAAAAGTAAAATTTACGCCCACCGTGGGGCTCGAACCTACGACCACAAGGTTAAGAGCCTTGCGCTCTACCGACTGAGCTAGACGGGCTTTGTTGATTTGACCGTAATCTTTCAAGAACTTGAAATATTTTATCCGCTTTTTCTAGTTCAAATCAAAAGATTTGATTTATGGGTAGTTGATATAACATCCCTATCCTTTGTCTTTGTTATGCAAATTATTCATATCGTTTTCACATTCAACATTTAGACCTTTAGATCAACATTTCTTTGGATTAAACATCGTTGGTGTTACATTCCTTCCGCTCCCTCAACTAAAGTCTGAAGAAACGATGAATTTACAATTCTCTTTAAATAAACAAAAAAATTATTGTAGCCGGAGTTTCATTTTATTTATTTATTTATTTCAAAAAGTTCAAACTGGTCTCACTTAAAATAATTAAAAAAAATATTAGAAAAAAAAAGAAAAGAAGTTTCATCTTCACAACCAATCCCACCTACGCGATCCAACCCCACTCTCCAACTCTTGGCCACACACCACCGCCGCCAATGATATTGAAAAGACATGAGAAATTTACTAAAAGTGCTGAAAATTATCAATTTGATGATGATACTGAAAATAAAATTAGAAAATGGAGAGGAAGATTCTCAAATTGATTCTAATTTGGGTTTTGAATATAACATCAGAATAGAAAAAATTCTGAAACTCATTTTACTTTTTTATTTTCTAATATTTCGTAAGAACATAGTAATCATTTTAAAGAATTTTGACTATTTCGGTCAAACGGGAATCCAATCTCACATACTTGCATAGGTTGAAGAGATAAACCTTAGTTTTGAAGGTTGTGAAGCATATTCCACACTTCATGAAAGGTTGGAGAGTCCAATCCTAACTTTTTCTTTCAGAAAAAAAAAAAAAAAAATCTAATTTGGATTATAAAATAATCGGAGACATTCCTGTTTCCTCTTCCAAATAGAACACGGCTTATCCTAAATTGATGATAAAATGCCTCCTAGTTGCTTGATAACTCGGAAACAACAAAATCTATATTTGATCTCAGAAAAGAAAAACAAAAAATAAAAACTTAATCTATGTTACATAATGAATGAAAACTTGCACTTTGTCCTGGATAAAATGGTCATTCACCACCCCAACAATTTCTTAAACTCTCCAGAGCCAGGATGTACAGGACTTCAGTAAGTTGCCTGAAAATCTTCATTTGCCCCTAAAGAATCATGTTTCATTCATTATACAGTCAGAAACCAACCATGGAACTCCCATTTGGCAGTTCCATATATGTATATGTTGCACCCTGCACATCCAAAATATATATATAAGAAACACGAAACATAAAAGAAGCACAAGAATCAGGGGAAAACACATAGATTGTGTGAATCAAGACGAACCTGCTGGTTTTGGGCAAAATTAAGTATAATGTGACGAAAACCAACTTCTAGATTCCGAGGCCATCAACAGAAAGCTCCTTTTCTGACAAGAGCTTAAGTTTCTGCAGGACAAAATGAGATAATAAGGCGAGAGAGTTCCACGGAAACTACACTGACTAAGGCCATGGATGGCTGTTCGAATCCAGAAGGCCTCTACTGGGCGGAAAATAATATTCAGATATAAAGAAATAAAAATGTAAACCAATATATGTGAGAGACAAAGGACTTAATGACAAATTGGTCATCCGCATGTACGAAATGGCAGTAGAAAAGAACAAAGGTTAAATGTAATCCAGTCTGATATACAAGGCCAGAATCCACTTTTGCTAGCTGTAGACTAAAAAAAAAGGAGGGAGAAGAAGAATAAGGAAAATTGAAAGATAACATTACCGTGATATATTGAGGTGGATTATCAATACTAGTTGAACCAAGGACTACTTCCCTCCTCAATTTTGCTGTTAGCTTGTGACAAGCCCTTAGCTGAGGACAAAACAATCGAATGTAAGCCATCTGCACAAGGCGAATACTATCAAGATTACAGCTGAGGAATAAAACGAGGTCCTACCTCAGATCTGGTTGCCCCACCAATTATGAATATAAAAATGCGCTGTCCCATCTTCTTAAAATCATTAGATACATTTCTCAAAACTGAATCACTGAAAACACAGTATTAAAGAGTCGTAAGTACTTGAAAATCCTATTCAAAGATGTTGGGAATGCAATTGATATTCTCTAAACAGAGTAGAAGAAAATTTGACAAATGATATACAACAGTGAATTTTGTTTATCTGTGGGCCATATAATGCATTTTTCTTGTATGACTGAAACTCTATAAAAAAGGAAGGCCAAACCTGCAAACCATCAAACTAAAGGATGAACTTAAATTGATCGCACAATCGTGTAGATCCTAAGTAACAATGACATTCAGGATAAAGCAATTTTTTTCTGAAGCAGCGCAGATTACTAGGTGTTTATACCTTGAATATCCATCGTCAGATGCTCGAGATCGTGCCCATGTTGCAGTCCGTCTTGATCTCACCGATCCACCCTGAGCGGGAACATTATTTCGACCTGATCTCACTGATCCACCCTGAGGTGGCCCGCTGGAAGGACTAGGATTATTCATGCATTGATAATCTTCTTTTGACAGTTCACGTTTATTCAACTTCTCTATTAATTCCTGAATAAATAAAAAGTGAAAAGCAATGTTATTGTACAATTTTCATGAAAGAAAGAGCAATACATGACGAAAATGTTTAGCTCAAAGCATTTCATTCTGCCTTCTTGATTAACAGAAACACTATGATAAAGGAGGTGAAGAAAAAATTATTCAGGGGCAAAAGATTTACCCATTCAACATTATGAAAACCAGCAGAAAATGAGTATGATACCTCGCACAACAAGATGTTGGAAAAATTCACCTCCATTTTTTTTCTGCTCGTTTTTTCTCTTTATCAACTTACCTCCACTTCTTAAAATTTAAACTCCTTTCGTAAATTAACATGTAAGAACTTTATGTGAAGTGGTCAATCATATACTTTCCAGATTAATAGTGCATTGCCTCATTTCTGTGTGTGAAGTTCTTAAACTGATATTTCCAATCTAAGCAGTTGTTTATGCAGGCAGCCCAAGATAAACGAATCATGTCATAGTTTGCTCTACATTATTCTAACCAATTCAGGTAGGACTCCCTTAAGTCATAAGATGTTTACTCTTAAGCAGGTGCAAGTGATAATGGGTGGATATAGGGGCTGAGAGCAGAAATTCTGTCACGAGTGAAATAGGACCTGGAGAATAAATGAATAGGAGATTAATTTTTTTTTTTTTAATCTTGGAAGATTTACTTGCCCTACAAATTAATTCAAGCATGATGTAGCATAAAAATATCGAGAATATGGTTTCATTTTCAAGTTTCAACTGTGCAAAGGCAGTGAAATATTTCAAGTTTGCTTCATTCTTAATATGGTACACTGGTTTACTCTTGATTTGGTATTAGAAGCTCCCTTATCAATGTAGATTATAAATCAACACTCCAAGCCACATAATCCAATCACCTAATGAAAATTGGGATAAGGACCAAGTCTGTTACATCTCATATTTTTTAGTCAAAAGTCAATAGTTGAATTGTCAAGGTCAAGGTCAATATGAATTTAATTGGAATAATTTATTTTCTTGGGGCTTATTTTATATTTAAGATAATTAAGGGTTAAGATGGATTA